GGACATGGTGGGTCAGGACGGACATTATGGGACAGGACTAGGACATGTCTTGGACATGGTGGGTCAGGACGGACATTATGGGACAGGACTAGGACATGTCTTGGACATGGTGGGTCAGGACGGACATTATGGGACAGGACTAGGACATGGCTGGACATGACTAAGACATTATGGGCCAGGACTAGGATATTACGAACCATGACTAGGACATTACGAGCCATGACTAGGACATTACGAACCATGACTGGGACATTATGGACCATGACTAGGACATTACGAACCATGACTGGGACATTATGGGCCATGACTAGGACATTATGAACCATGACTGGGACATTACGGGCCATGACTAGGACATTACGAACCATGACTAGGACTAGGACACGAACGAATACTGTGCGGTACAATGGTGTGCTCTAGAGACGTGTGGTGTACAGAGGTGAAAGGTTACGGGGTCAGTGTGTCAGCAGTCTCGGGGGTTAGACTAGAGGACGTTCCTCCCGCTCTCAGGCCAGCCAGCATGACAGAAGGGACAGACTACATATAGGCTAATTATATCTGAAGAGCACAGGGGGGAACACGACTGTAGTCACAAACTGGAAATTGAGAGGGTGCCAGTTGGTCGCTTTTAAGCACAAGGCACAAGGGGGCTATCCTGAAAAAAGCTATTTTGAGAAAATCAAAGTTAAAGTTTCTGGATCCTTATTCAGTCTCTTTAAAAGACAAGGAGAGTTTTTTCTATAACCAAACTACACACCAGTGAAACCAAACTTCTCCTAAAGGAAGGGCAATGCCCACTTTTGGTGTAGGTCAAACCAAGATTTCTTGAAACCCCCGAAATCTGGGTTAGCCCGCTTGAACTTAAAGGCGGCCAGTTTTAAAAGCTTGTGGACTCGTAACCTCATATTCGTTTGACTGGTGGTTTATTGGTAAGTATTGTTGATGAATGAGAAATCTAACAACAATAATTGACCAACAGTTGAACAGAAATACAGGTGTATGAATCAACAAGCGATCAAAATTGGTACCCTCAAGACTTCCAGTTTGTGAATACAGTCGTTTCCCCCTTGCAGTCTTCAACTGGTTATCCTAGCACCAGGCAGGGGTTGGTTAGTCAAGAGTTTTACGGCACTTGCAACAAAAGTAGGTCATTAATCGTAATTATTGATCAAAAGTGTCGAAGATTAGAGGTGTTGTTACAAGAGAGTAACAAACACGAAAAAAAAATGGGAGATGGGGAGATAAGATAAGGACGATAGATAGAATGTTTGTTGGGAAAGAAGGAGCAAACCACACAAGAGCACCCGCCAACCACCCCCACAAGGCTGGGTTAGTTAGTTGGAAGGCTGTTTAGTTCAGCCTTGATCGAGCCAACGGGGAGAAGGGGGAGGGGGGAGGGAGGAAATGATAGAGGTGTAGGCAGAAATGGGTGCAAAGTTTAAAAAAAAAATAATGATCAATCAAAAACAGAGAGTGGTTGGATCTTAGACCTAATAAATAAAGCAAGCACATGATACAAACAGAAGGAATGAAAGGGACTTGTCAATCCAGTGTTAACGTAATGCACATCATGATACAAAAATGTGGAAGCAGCTTCAATTCAGTGTGTGAAGCTCGCCAGTGAGAACGAGCCCACTGTGTTGTGTAACGAAAACACACTGTGTGTCACACATAAACAACACATACTGCGTAGAACAAACACGCACAAACCCACACCGTGTTGTTACACAGGAACACGTGGAGTAGCGCACAAGAAAAACACATTGAGTAGCTAGTGTGTACACACACACACACACACACACACACACACACACACACACACACACCGTGTAGCACAAAAGAACACAGGTGTCCGGTGGTCACACATGAACACACGGCTACAGAACCACCAAACACAGCGTAGTGTGTCACATAAACAGGGCATATAACAACAACAACACACATAAATAACACATAGATAGACACAGGTTTGGGCAGGCGACAGAATACAGTGCGAGAGAGCATGTATAACATAATATAAAAACGCAAGAGGCTATTTCAATTAATTATTTAGTGTCGCATCCCGCACCCACCCCCTTCCCCCACCCC